GCCCCCCCCCCAGCGGGTAGCCAGCCCACCCCAGCGGCGGCCTGAGCCAACAGGCTACTCAGGCTGTTCAGTGCCCCTGTGCAAGGGCTGGGGAGGGGTGGCATCTGCTGAAAGCAGGATTTGGGGGCAGGGACAACTGCAGGTTAACCTCTCCTTTAAAAACCCTGCACCCCAACTAACCCTGGACTCCTGGGCTGTGCCCCAGACTCTCCCTTGGCCCCCCAAGACTACCCACGGGTCAGGAGACCCCACAGCTAGTAGAAGGCTGGCAGGTGGCTGCTGGCGGGGCAGGGCACCGTGTGGCTAGTAGGAGGAGTCAGGTGACCACTGGTGGGCCAGGGCACCCGTGGCTAGTAGCAGGAGTCCAGCTGGCTGCCGCATCCACCCCAGCGGGTAGCCAGCCTAGACCAGCGGCATCCACCCCAGCGGGTAGCCAGCCTAGACCAGCGGCATCCACCCCAGCGGGTAGCCAGCCTAGACCAGCGGCATCCACCCCAGCGGGTAGCCAGCCTAGACCAGCGGCATCCACCCCAGCGGGTAGCCAGCCTAGACCAGCGGCATCCACCCCAGCGGGTAGCCAGCCTAGACCAGCGGCATCCACCCCAGCGGGTAGCCAGCCTAGACCAGCGGCATCCACCCCAGCGGGTAGCCAGCCTAGACCAGCGGCATCCACCCCAGCGGGTAGCCAGCCTAGACCAGCGGCATCCACCCCAGCGGGTAGCCAGCCTAGACCAGCGGCATCCACCCCAGCGGGTAGCCAGCCTAGACCAGCGGCATCCACCCCAGCGGGTAGCCAGCCTAGACCAGCGGCATCCACCCCAGCGGGTAGCCAGCCTAGACCAGCGGCATCCACCCCAGCGGGTAGCCAGCCTAGACCAGCGGCATCCACCCCAGCGGGTAGCCAGCCTAGACCAGCGGCATCCACCCCAGCGGGTAGCCAGCCTAGACCAGCGGCATCCACCCCAGCGGGTAGCCAGCCTAGACCAGCGGCATCCACCCCAGCGGGTAGCCAGCCTAGACCAGCGGCATCCACCCCAGCGGGTAGCCAGCCTAGACCAGCGGCATCCACCCCAGCGGGTAGCCAGCCTAGACCAGCGGCATCCACCCCAGCGGGTAGCCAGCCTAGACCAGCGGCATCCACCCCAGCGGGTAGCCAGCCTAGACCAGCGGCATCCACCCCAGCGGGTAGCCAGCCTAGACCAGCGGCATCCACCCCAGCGGGTAGCCAGCCTAGACCAGCGGCATCCACCCCAGCGGGTAGCCAGCCTAGACCAGCGGCATCCACCCCAGCGGGTAGCCAGCCTAGACCAGCGGCATCCACCCCAGCGGGTAGCCAGCCTAGACCAGCGGCATCCACCCCAGCGGGTAGCCAGCCTAGACCAGCGGCATCCACCCCAGCGGGTAGCCAGCCTAGACCAGCGGCATCCACCCCAGCGGGTAGCCAGCCTAGACCAGCGGCATCCACCCCAGCGGGTAGCCAGCCTAGACCAGCGGCATCCACCCCAGCGGGTAGCCAGCCTAGACCAGCGGCATCCACCCCAGCGGGTAGCCAGCCTAGACCAGCGGCATCCACCCCAGCGGGTAGCCAGCCTAGACCAGCGGCATCCACCCCAGCGGGTAGCCAGCCTAGACCAGCGGCATCCACCCCAGCGGGTAGCCAGCCTAGACCAGCGGCATCCACCCCAGCGGGTAGCCAGCCTAGACCAGCGGCATCCACCCCAGCGGGTAGCCAGCCTAGACCAGCGGCATCCACCCCAGCGGGTAGCCAGCCTAGACCAGCGGCATCCACCCCAGCGGGTAGCCAGCCTAGACCAGCGGCATCCACCCCAGCGGGTAGCCAGCCTAGACCAGCGGCATCCACCCCAGCGGGTAGCCAGCCTAGACCAGCGGCATCCACCCCAGCGGGTAGCCAGCCTAGACCAGCGGCATCCACCCCAGCGGGTAGCCAGCCTAGACCAGCGGCATCCACCCCAGCGGGTAGCCAGCCTAGACCAGCGGCATCCACCCCAGCGGGTAGCCAGCCTAGACCAGCGGCATCCACCCCAGCGGGTAGCCAGCCTAGACCAGCGGCATCCACCCCAGCGGGTAGCCAGCCTAGACCAGCGGCATCCACCCCAGCGGGTAGCCAGCCTAGACCAGCGGCATCCACCCCAGCGGGTAGCCAGCCTAGACCAGCGGCATCCACCCCAGCGGGTAGCCAGCCTAGACCAGCGGCATCCACCCCAGCGGGTAGCCAGCCTAGACCAGCGGCATCCACCCCAGCGGGTAGCCAGCCTAGACCAGCGGCATCCACCCCAGCGGGTAGCCAGCCTAGACCAGCGGCATCCACCCCAGCGGGTAGCCAGCCTAGACCAGCGGCATCCACCCCAGCGGGTAGCCAGCCTAGACCAGCGGCATCCACCCCAGCGGGTAGCCAGCCTAGACCAGCGGCATCCACCCCAGCGGGTAGCCAGCCTAGACCAGCGGCATCCACCCCAGCGGGTAGCCAGCCTAGACCAGCGGCATCCACCCCAGCGGGTAGCCAGCCTAGACCAGCGGCATCCACCCCAGCGGGTAGCCAGCCTAGACCAGCGGCATCCACCCCAGCGGGTAGCCAGCCTAGACCAGCGGCATCCACCCCAGCGGGTAGCCAGCCTAGACCAGCGGCATCCACCCCAGCGGGTAGCCAGCCTAGACCAGCGGCATCCACCCCAGCGGGTAGCCAGCCTAGACCAGCGGCATCCACCCCAGCGGGTAGCCAGCCTAGACCAGCGGCATCCACCCCAGCGGGTAGCCAGCCTAGACCAGCGGCATCCACCCCAGCGGGTAGCCAGCCTAGACCAGCGGCATCCACCCCAGCGGGTAGCCAGCCTAGACCAGCGGCATCCACCCCAGCGGGTAGCCAGCCTAGACCAGCGGCATCCACCCCAGCGGGTAGCCAGCCTAGACCAGCGGCATCCACCCCAGCGGGTAGCCAGCCTAGACCAGCGGCATCCACCCCAGCGGGTAGCCAGCCTAGACCAGCGGCATCCACCCCAGCGGGTAGCCAGCCTAGACCAGCGGCATCCACCCCAGCGGGTAGCCAGCCTAGACCAGCGGCATCCACCCCAGCGGGTAGCCAGCCTAGACCAGCGGCATCCACCCCAGCGGGTAGCCAGCCTAGACCAGCGGCATCCACCCCAGCGGGTAGCCAGCCTAGACCAGCGGCATCCACCCCAGCGGGTAGCCAGCCTAGACCAGCGGCATCCACCCCAGCGGGTAGCCAGCCTAGACCAGCGGCATCCACCCCAGCGGGTAGCCAGCCTAGACCAGCGGCATCCACCCCAGCGGGTAGCCAGCCTAGACCAGCGGCATCCACCCCAGCGGGTAGCCAGCCTAGACCAGCGGCATCCACCCCAGCGGGTAGCCAGCCTAGACCAGCGGCATCCACCCCAGCGGGTAGCCAGCCTAGACCAGCGGCATCCACCCCAGCGGGTAGCCAGCCTAGACCAGCGGCATCCACCCCAGCGGGTAGCCAGCCTAGACCAGCGGCATCCACCCCAGCGGGTAGCCAGCCTAGACCAGCGGCATCCACCCCAGCGGGTAGCCAGCCTAGACCAGCGGCATCCACCCCAGCGGGTAGCCAGCCTAGACCAGCGGCATCCACCCCAGCGGGTAGCCAGCCTAGACCAGCGGCATCCACCCCAGCGGGTAGCCAGCCTAGACCAGCGGCATCCACCCCAGCGGGTAGCCAGCCTAGACCAGCGGCATCCACCCCAGCGGGTAGCCAGCCTAGACCAGCGGCATCCACCCCAGCGGGTAGCCAGCCTAGACCAGCGGCATCCACCCCAGCGGGTAGCCAGCCTAGACCAGCGGCATCCACCCCAGCGGGTAGCCAGCCTAGACCAGCGGCATCCACCCCAGCGGGTAGCCAGCCTAGACCAGCGGCATCCACCCCAGCGGGTAGCCAGCCTAGACCAGCGGCATCCACCCCAGCGGGTAGCCAGCCTAGACCAGCGGCATCCACCCCAGCGGGTAGCCAGCCTAGACCAGCGGCATCCACCCCAGCGGGTAGCCAGCCTAGACCAGCGGCATCCACCCCAGCGGGTAGCCAGCCTAGACCAGCGGCATCCACCCCAGCGGGTAGCCAGCCTAGACCAGCGGCATCCACCCCAGCGGGTAGCCAGCCTAGACCAGCGGCATCCACCCCAGCGGGTAGCCAGCCTAGACCAGCGGCATCCACCCCAGCGGGTAGCCAGCCTAGACCAGCGGCATCCACCCCAGCGGGTAGCCAGCCTAGACCAGCGGCATCCACCCCAGCGGGTAGCCAGCCTAGACCAGCGGCATCCACCCCAGCGGGTAGCCAGCCTAGACCAGCGGCATCCACCCCAGCGGGTAGCCAGCCTAGACCAGCGGCATCCACCCCAGCGGGTAGCCAGCCTAGACCAGCGGCATCCACCCCAGCGGGTAGCCAGCCTAGACCAGCGGCATCCACCCCAGCGGGTAGCCAGCCTAGACCAGCGGCATCCACCCCAGCGGGTAGCCAGCCTAGACCAGCGGCATCCACCCCAGCGGGTAGCCAGCCTAGACCAGCGGCATCCACCCCAGCGGGTAGCCAGCCTAGACCAGCGGCATCCACCCCAGCGGGTAGCCAGCCTAGACCAGCGGCATCCACCCCAGCGGGTAGCCAGCCTAGACCAGCGGCATCCACCCCAGCGGGTAGCCAGCCTAGACCAGCGGCATCCACCCCAGCGGGTAGCCAGCCTAGACCAGCGGCATCCACCCCAGCGGGTAGCCAGCCTAGACCAGCGGCATCCACCCCAGCGGGTAGCCAGCCTAGACCAGCGGCATCCACCCCAGCGGGTAGCCAGCCTACCCCAGCGGCATCCACCCCAGCGGGTAGCCAGCCTAGACCAGCGGCATCCACCCCAGCGGGTAGCCAGCCTACCCCAGCGGCATCCACCCCAGCGGGTAGCCAGCCTACCCCACCGGCATCCACCCCAGCGGGCAGCCAGCCT